CCCTCAAGGAGGCAGAGGCGGGAGGGCTGGTAACCTCCCTCCTGGGATCCTGGGCTGTCTCTGGCCAGAAGCCAACTGGGCACTTTGGCATCAGGTGCCTTTGCAGGCCAGGATGGGGGTGGGAAGGGCCAGCTCCCTCTCCACCCGGTGCTGGTTGGGGGGCTGGGCACGGCCTCGTGGGGAGCTGGCCTGGAGGCAGCGAAGGCAGGGGCTGCACCGCCTGACCTCCTGTGAGTCCAGAGGCTATGATTCTGTGATTGATTCTCCCCTCGGAGCCTCTGAGCTGCTCTCCTGGGAAAGCCGGCAGGTCTGGGTCAAGGGGAGGGAGTCTGGTATGGACCATATTCAGGGACGGATTAGCTGGGGGAACTGCTCCCACCAGCAGGGAGGGGAGAGATAAAGCCTGTGAGCTGGAGAAGGGGGGCCAGCACCGAGACACTCCCTCCCTGACCCCAGGCCTGTGCAGAGCTAGTGTCTGTGGTGGGGGAGGGGGCCACCCCCTTTCCCAGGGTACTGGCTGGCCTTGGAGCCCAGCACTTTCTCAGGCCCTTTATTAAATTTCTCAGGAGCAAGAGGGGAGGTTATCCCTCCCCTTCTTCCCCAGGCTCCCCTCCTTTTGTCTCCCTCCCCAGGAGGGTCGGGAAGGAGCTTTTCTCATTATTGTGGTTATTAAAAAATAAATGAGCCAGAGACAGAGACACAGAGGGAGAGACAGAGAGGCTGAGAGACAGTGGCAAGCAAAGAGAGACAAAGAAAGATGGATAGATAGAAGACGGAGCTGGGAAGACAGATATTGAAGGAGGTAGACACAGAGAGACCGAGAGAAATGGAGGAGAGATGGGGCAGCTAGGCATGCTGGCGAAGATGAAGGCTTGGGGACTTTCAGCTGCATTTAAAGTCAAATCTGGCAGCAGTAGTGTGGACTTGGGCAAGCTACTTCATCTATTTGAGCCTCAGTTTCCTCATCTGCAAAATGGAATAATAATCCTCACTTTGTAGTATCACCGTGAAGCAGACAGAGAGACAGAAGGGAGAAGGGACAAAGAGAGCTCAGTGGTGCCTGGAAGCCCCCACTGACCATGGGCAAAGCAGGACTCTGAGTGGCAGGACCTCTTCCCTGGCGATGACTGGTTCTGGGGTCCAGGCCCCTCTTCCTTACTTATCACCTCACTTCTGTGAGCCAATTTGTGGCTACTAAGTGGAAAGCAAACCGGAGTCCTAGAATGCTCACATCCGGAATCCCAGCACTTTGGGAGCCTGAGGAGGGCGGATAACTTGAGGTCAGGAGTTCGAGACCAGCCTGGCCAACCTGGTGAAACCCCGTCTCTACTAAAAATACAAAAATTAGCCTAGCAGGGTGGCATGCTCCTGTGTCCCAGCTCCTTGGGAGGCTGAGGCAGGAGAATCACTTGAACCTGGAAGCAGAAGTTGCAGTGAGCCGAGATCGCGCCACTGCACTCCAGCTTGGGCGACAGAGTGATACTCTGTCTCAAAAAATTAAATTAAATTATTAAAGTTATCCAGGTGTGATAGCGTGCGTCTGTGGTCTCAGCTACTTGAGAGGCTGAGGTAGGGGTGGGAAGATGGTTTGGGCCCGAGGTGAAGGCTGCAGTGAGCCGTGATCATGTCACTGAACTCCAGCCTGGGCGACAGAGTGAGACCCTGTCTCAAAAAATAAAAAGAAAAAAGAAAAGAAAAGAAAAGAACATTCACCTCATATGGTTGTTTTTCCTGTTAGCTCCAAAACTAAAGAAACTGACCACGAGCTTTGGAGGCAAACAAACCTGGCACTGAATTCCAGAAACCTACTATGAATTTTTTAAAGGCAAAGGGCCAGTAATGTTGATCTCATAGCTTTGTTTTTTTTTTTAATTAAATAACTTTCTTCAGGTATAAAATTCACACATAAAATGTACCCACTTTATGTGCACAATTCAATGATCTTGAGTAAACGTGTAGAGTTGTGCAGCCACCAACACCCAACTCTGGAAGCTTTCCGTCTCCCCCAAAATGTCTCTCATGCCCATCTGCAGTCACTCCCCGCTTCCACGCTGAGCCACCACCTTTCTTTTTTGTTAGTTTGTTTTTCTTTTTGAGATGGAGTCTCACTCTGGCGCCGCAGGCTGGAGAGCAGTGGTGCAGTTTTGGCTCACTGCAACCTCTACCTCCCAGGTTCAAGCGATTCTCCTGCCTCAGCCTCCTGAGTGGCTAGGATTATAGGCATGCGCCACCATGCCTGGCTAATTTTTGTATTTTTAGTTGAGACAGGGTTTCACCAAGTTGGCCAGGCTGGTCTTGAACTCCTGACCTGAAGTGATCCATCTGCCTTGGCCTCCCAAAGTGCTGGGATTACAGGAGTGAGCCACTGCATCCGGCCCTGTTTTCTGTCTTTTCTGGACATTTCATTAAAATAAATCATGCAGTTTGTGGTCTTTTGTGTGTGGCTTCTCTCAGAACACCTTGAGATTCCTCCACGTGTGGCCCGCTTCATCCCTTTTCACTGCTGCGTAGTATTCCCCAGTTTGGATGGCCGTGTGCTATCCCTTCACCCGCTGATGGACCTCCGGTTGTGTATAGGGAATTTTAAGGGTTGAATAAGGTACTGTGTGTAACATGATTGGGTCAGTAAGTAGGTCATCTTACATGGGTGAAGGAGAAAGAAGGAGAGGAGAAATTTCTTTGCAGACTTACTACAAACCAGGCACACACGGAAGCAGATCATAGCCATTTCCTTCTTACACAGAAACTTTGGGGTAGCAGTAAGTACTATTATTGTCCCCATTTTGCAAAGGAGGCACGCATGGCTTGGAGAGGGGGCTGTGACTGCCTTGTCTGAGGTCACACATGGTAAGTGAGAAGCTGGGAGCTGAGCCCGGGCAGTTGGCCCCTGCCCTGCAGCTTCTCCTTGGCTCTGCCTGTCCCAAGCCCTAGGGAGCACCAGGGGAAGAGCTGGAATTCCTGCAGGCTTCCTGCACTCAGCACCCAGCTCTTGCCTCCACCCACACTGCCTGCTCCTTTGCCTTTGCTGTTCCTTCTCAGCATTGGCTAGGAAATTCCCCCATGTCTTCTCCCTCCTTGCCAACCCCGTGGCACCCCCAAGTGTGGAGCACCTGGGATGTGCCAGGCACTGCTTCTCAGGTATGGCCTTAGGGATCTGCTGTTATCCTCAGGCCATCCTCGGGGGTGGGCATGTTGGCACAGAGGCCTAGAAAGTTTCGGATGCTCACCCAAGATCACAGTTCATGAGCAAGTGGTGGAGCCGGTATCCCAATGTTTCATCTGTTTGATTCTAAAGGCCACTCTCCCTCTCTCTCCTTCTGTGCTCCTCCCTCCTAGAGGCTGGAACTCCACATCTGGCTCCCAAATGACCCCCCAGGAGGGAAGGCGAAAGGCTTGGGACCCTGTGGTAAGGGAAGACAGAGCAAGGGAGGGTGGGGCATGCCAGAAGGGGTGGGCAGAGGGGCCAGCTGGCCTTCTTCCCTCTAGCTCGGAGGCCCTCCTGGGGATGGCAGGGTGCGGGAGCTGCCCTCTCCTCTCCTCCCGGTGTCTTCTGGGAGACAATGTGCTTCTCATTAGGCTGGTGCTGGGTTTTGCAAACCGCACCTCTAATGGTGAAGGTTTGGGGGTGTGAGGAACTGTGCATCTCTGCACCTCACATCGCCTGGAGTGGGAGGGCAGTCAGGCCCCTCCCACCAGCTGGGGTGGCTCCCAGCACCCGGGAGCGAGCTGTGCCCTCACTGGCATCAAGTGGCCTTGAGGGGAGGGGCTGATCGGGGCTGAGACAAGTGAGATGAGGCCACGCTGACTTTATCTGCTTCACAGGATGGACTAACTGTCCTCCTCTGGAGTCCTCTAGGACCACCCTTATTAGGCCTTCCCCAAAGCAGGGCTGTGTCTCCCCTCATACTGAGGCCTGGGGGGCCCTCCCTCAGCCTTCCCCACACCCCACGGACGGCTGCAGAGCTGTGGTGGGGGGGGTGCCAGCAGCATTGGGCTCATAGTGGGGAAATTGAATAATGAGCGTGTAACTGAGTTAGCCTCATGGGAGCCTCTGAAGGCTCTGGTTTCCTCCTCACCCAGTGGGTCTGTCTGGGTGACTGCAAGGGGCCAGGATGCCGCCTTTTCAAACCTTCCAAAATGCTCTCTGAGAGTCTCAGCCCAGCAAGGCAGGGCTGCCAGGGATGGGCAGGGTGTGAATGTCAGGCTGCCCGAGCTCCCGGTCACATCTCACTGCACACAAACACACCCCGTCACAGCCATGTAGGCACATGGAGACGCACGTGAGACCCTCACTCCAGTTACTGACATGCACACACACACTCACACACACGTGTCCCCTCCGGGTACTAACACACATGGACACGGAGATAGCTACCCTAGGGAGGCATTTAAGAGTCTCTTATAGCTGGGCACAGTGGCTTACGCCTATAATCCCAGCACTTTGGGAGGCCAAGGTGGGGAGGATTATTTGAGGTCAGGAGTTCGAGACCAGCCTGGCCAACATGATGAAACCCCCATCTCCACTAAAAAATACAAAAATTAGCCTGTGTGGTGGTGCACGCCTGTAATCCCAGTTACTCAGAAGGCTGAGGCAGGAAAATTGCTTAAACCCAGGAGACGGAGGTTACAGTGAGGTGAGATCCCACCACTGCACTCCGTGACAGAGTGAGACTCTGCCTCAAAAAATAAAAATAGAGTCTCTTACACACTCAAGCACACTTTTGCAGGCACACACTCAGGCATATATATGTCAACCCACAACTCACACACACACACACACACACCTGTTCACAGTCTACACGGCTGGGGCACAATACTGCAGAGACACTTGGGCGTGTCCTCAATCTCAGTGCAAGCTCAAGTGTGAGGAAACCTCGGGTTCCCAGCTGGGAGGAACCTTGAAAGAGCACCATGCCTAGCCCCTGCCTGGCAGGCCCTCCCTCTAGGCCTCCCCAGCTACTGTGACATCACCCAGGGCGAGACCTAGACTAGTCCTGGCTCCAACCTCTGGGAGTCCTCATGGCATCTGACTTGTCAGACGGACTTTGTGGATCTGCTCCTTTGGGAACCACCTCTGATGGATTGAAGTCTCAGGTGCTGGAGCCCAAGGCTGACTCCCAAAGGGAAGGGGCTCTGGGGAGGGGCTAGAGGAGAGGAAGACTCTCAGGGGAGGGGGCAGGGGCTTTGCCAAAGAGAAGCGTTGGTTTGGATTAGGGAGGACACCTCCTCCCATCTAAGCTGAGAACATTCGGTTTATTTGTTTACTTAAGCAAAAGAAGCAAGAAGCCCAGGCGCTCTGACCTCATGATGTCCTCAGCAGACAGGGAAGATGCAGGGGTAGAGACCAAGGACAGGACAGGTGAGAGAGTCTGAGCCCAGGAAGGCTGACCTGAACCCCCTGGGCTGGACAGGCTGGCTCTGGGCTGGTGGGGAGGCGACCCGGGTTTTGAGGGAGGGAAGAGGGCAGGAACCAGGATACTGTGAAGAGGTGAGGCCCCGCCCTGTTCCTGGCTAGAGGGACCAGAAAGAGCACCTTGAGGAGGGGCCAAAAGAGGATCCACCAGCTGTTGGGGGGGCCTGAGCTCTAGTCCACTCAGTCTGCCTCACATTCAATCCCGGGTTAGATCCTGCTGGGCTCCCAAAGCTACTGGGCTGCAACTTGTCTCTGTTGTAAAAACTACCTGTCTACCTCACTAGGCAGTGAGCTTATTCCGTGCCATTTATTCATTTGTTATCAGCTGTACAACCTGAGGCTGAATTATCTTCTCTGAAACATGGATAATAGTATCTCATAGGATTCTTTTTTTTTTTTTTTTTGAGAAGGAGTTTCGCTCTTGTTGCCCATGCCGGAGTGCAGTGGTGTGATCTCAACTCACTGCAACCTCCACCTCCTGGGTTCAAGCAATTCTGCCTCAACCCTCTCCACTCGAGTAGCTAGGATCACAGGTGCCACCGCGCCCAGCTGATTTTTGTATTTTTAGTAGAGACAGGGTTTAACCACATTGGACAGGCTGGTCTTGAACTCCTGACCTCTGCTGATCCACCCGCCTCAGCCTCCTAAAGTGTTGGGATTATAGGTTCGAGCTACCGTGCCTGGCTCCTTATAGGATTTTTAGGTTGGAATGAGTTGTTATGTGTAAATCTCACAGAACACCACCTCCACCAGGGGCAGTTGACTCACACCTGTAATCCCATCACTTTGAGAGATTGAAGGAGGATTAGTTGAGCCAAGGAGTTTGAGACCAGCCTGGGCAACATAGTGAGACCCCATTTCTAAAAAATAAAAATAAAAATTAGCTGGCATGCTGATATGCACCTGTAGTCACAGCTACTCAGGAGGTGGGAGGGTTGCTTCTGCCCAGGAATTCAAGACTTCAGTAAGCTAAGAATCATCCCACTGCACCCCAGTGCAGCCTAGGTGACGGAGCAAGACCCCGCTTCTAAAAAAAAAAAAAAAAAGAAAGAAAAGAAAAAGACAAACCACCTCCTGGCCCAAGTTAATGCTGCACATATATTAGCTTTAAAAATGTGAGCAGTCCCAAGCTAAACATTTGACAGACACTGAGTATACGGCAGAGAATAAGGTAAACAGTGCTGCCCTCAACAAACTCAAAGTCTTGGGGCCTCAGGGACAGGATGGGGAGTCATCCTTGACCAAGTGGCCAAGATAATGTGTAATGACTATTGTAATGGAGAAGCCAGGAATTTTAAGAGAGCACAGGCAGGCGGTCCTAGCCCAGGCAGTGGGTTGGGGTAAGGCTTCTGGAGGCAGGGACTTTCAAGGTGAAACCTGCAGGGATGAGTAGGAGTAACCAGGTGAGGATGGGAGGAACGGGCTTCAGGCTGAAAGCATAGCACGTTCAAAGGCTTTGAGGTCATTATCAACTCCAGGGTCTAGCCCCATGGCCTGGCCATACCAAATTGTCAATCAATATTTGTTTTTGTTTTTGCTTGTTTTGAGACAGGGTCTGGCTCTGTCATCCAGGCTGGAGTGCAATAGCATGATCTCTGCTCGCTGCAACCTCTGCCTCCTAGGCTCAAACCATCCTCCTACCTCAGCATCCCAAGTAGCTGGGACTACAGGTGCATGCCACCATGCCTGGCTAATTTATGTATTTTTGGTAGAGATAGGGTTTAGCCATGTTGCCCAGGCTGGTCTGGAACTCCTGGGCTCAAGCGATCCTCCTGCCTCAGCCCCCTACAGCGCTGGGGTTATAGGCTGAGCCACGACACCAGGCCAGTCAGTATTTGTTGACTGGAGCATCGATTGCTTACCAGCTTCGGCATTTCATTGCATGGGACCTTCGTAGCAACCTGGTAAGATGGGAGCTAACGTACACCAGTTTCACAGAGGTGATGCTCAGCAGCTTACAGAGGTGGCCAAGGTCACACAGCTCCTGGATCTGTAGTAAAGGCAGGACCATCTGCCTTCTCTCTCTCCTGGCTTTGGTGGTTCAGGGGAATGTTTTCTTTGCTGCTACTGTAGAGAACCACTGAGCAGAAAAGATGCAGGCAAGAGCTGGCGGGCTGGGGACAGGCTCCTGAGGCGCTCTTCTTTGCAGCACGGCCCCTGGGGGCTCTGAGATCAAAATCCCTGGAGCCCAAGTTTCTGGAAGACCTTTGTCCATCCTGAGCCCTGTAGTCTGCCCTCCTCCCACACCAGTCTCTTGGGGGCCTGGACTGGAGGCCCTGGCTCCCTGGGCTCACCTCTGCCCATGTCTCCCTCTCTGGGGTCCCTGGGCGATGCATCTGGCTTCTGTGAGAATGAGGCCCCTGGGTCGCCACTTCCTGGGTAGTTGTAGGAATGTGCCTCTGCAGCAGTGGGCCTGGGACCAGGCAGTGATGAGGGTGGCAGTGAGGCCTGCCAGAACACCCTCCGTCCAACACCGCTGAGCTCCCTCCTCCAGGCCCCTGCCTGCTTCCACCGACCCCAGTTATAATAGTCTCACCAGACCCTTCAAACCAACACATCTGGGGGAGGAGGGCGAACAGTGCATCTTGCTTTGGAAAGTTTAAGGCAAGTAAGCTCTGGGGATCTAGGAGGCACCATGTGTGCACTGGGAGGTGGCGGGGGTGGGTAGTGCAGAAGCCAGGCCCAAGGAGAGGCAGGGGCAGGGGGCAAGAGCCTGGATTTTGTCCCTCAGCACCATTGTCTGGTTAATTGTCAGCCCATTTCCAAGTTAAAATGCTTCTTCCTAGCTAGACATGGTGGCTTATGCCTGTAATGCCAACACTTTGGGAGGCTGAGGTGGGTGGATCACCTGAGGTAAGAAGTTCAAGACCAGCCTGACCAACATAGCGAAACCCCGTCTCTACTAAAAATACAAAAATTAGCCAGGCCTGGTGGTGGTGCCTGTAATTCCAGCTACTCGGGAGGTTGACGCAGAAGAATCACGTGAACATGGGAGGTGGAGGTTGCAGTGAGCTGAGATTGCCCTATTGCACTCTAGCCTGGGCGACAGAGTGAGATTCCATCTTAAAAGAAAAAAACAAAAGCTTCTTCCTTAGGGGGCCAGGTCCCAGACCAGGTCTGCTGCATAGACTGAATACCAAGCCCACTACACAGATAGGAAAACCGAGGCCTATGGATACTAGGGGGTGCTGGGGGTCAGGTCTGTCTTCCCTTCCTCCCAGCGTAGTGTGTCCTTCCCAGGAAAGCAGAGACCAGTCTGTCTGTCCTTGCACTCACCCATCTTCGGGCCATTCTCAACCCCAACCCCTCTAAATGCCCCCTGGAGCCTGTCCTCAGCGACCCCCTTCTAGGGAATGTGATGAAAGCTCTATTTATTATACTTCAGCTCGGACAGTTGTTTCAGATGTTTCCAATTCGTCGGACTGCTCAGACATCTGTTCCTGGTTGAAGGCAGAGAAGAGAAAGAAAAAAGGGAAAAACTCAATGTGTTTCACACACCCTCACTCAGATGCACACAGGCTCACACACCCCCTTCTCTCTCTCCCTCCCCCAGACCCTCGCAGAACACACCCTCATCCTCATGCACACTCCGAGCCTCACTCACTTTCACTGCAGCCAGACCCTGTGCTCCACGAAGCCCCAGGTGTGTGCCGAGACTGTGCTGTGCCCACTCTCCACCCTCGCCTCCCCTACACAGGCTGGTGTGCACACTCAGGCCTACACCTGTCCCCTCTTGGGGCTTCGCACCCCCTTCCCTGGTCATGGTGAGGGTCCCTGTGCTGGGGGGCCTGAACCACGTCTTGCATTCCAGTCAAGACACTATAAAGTGGGCTATCACCTTCCCTACCTCCCAGGGTTATTGTGCTGTTTACAATCTTGTGTGCTAAGTGCCTGGCCTGGCACTCTGAGAGTGTCTGCCATGGTTCCTGTTGGCACTTCCTCCTTCCCCTGTGTACAGACACACACCCACATATGTATTTGCTCCTACAGTGGGGATTGAAAGATCACCTGAGGTCAGGAGTTCAAGACCAGCCTGGTCAACATGGTGAAACTCTGTGTCTACTAAAATACAAAAATTAGCTGGGCATGGTAGCATGCACCTGCAATCCCTGCTACTCAGGAAGCTGAGGCAAGAGAATTGCTTGAACCTGAGAGGCAGAAGCTGCATTGAGCCAAGATGGTGCCACTGCACTCCAGCCTGGGAGAGAGAGCGAGACTCCGTCTCAAAAAAAAAAAAAGAAAGATTTCAGGGTCCCTGGGAACTTTGAAGTTCTGTGATTCTTGACCCTCACACACAGATGTACACAGCTGCACATGTATGCATGCTCAGCAACCTGGTCTAACACACGTATGCAGGCAAACAAATGCACACGTACACTCCTTAACACACATGTGCACACTTGCACACATGTATGCTGCCACAGTGCAACTTGCACTTGCACATTCCTCTCAGCTCACTCACATATTCACACTCAGCTCCACACATGGAACACCCAGCCAAGGGACTGGGGATTGGAGGGGTGGAGGGAGGCCTGAGTTCATGGGGTCCAGGCTGGACTTGCTGAGGTGGGGCTGGGGGATGAAGTCATCCACTCCCTGGCTCCTAGGCAGGCTGGGTACATGATTGCAGGGGGGGATCAGCCCCACCCAACTCTGGGGGTCTGGGGTGGAGAGGCGTGGATGGAAACCCCTTTCCTAATGCACTGCCGTGCGCACTCTTGTCACCCCACCTCCTCTGGAGGGATTCTCGAGCAGCAGGTGGAAGGGGAGGCTCTGGGGCAGGGGCGAGCAGTTTGGGGAGTGAATGATCAGGGTGATGACTCCTCCATCCAGAGCTCGTTGATTGACACCTCCTGTCTAGGACCCTAATCCCCAGATCTGGGCCATGAGCTGGGAAACAGGAGCATCCCTCTCATAGCTCTCCCCCCTCCTCCAGTTCCACCAGCCTCAGGTGACTTTGGTCAGACAAGCCCAGGACCTCTCCAGCCTGTGGCCTTTCAGGCAGGCTCAGCTGATCTCTCTACCAGGTCCCCTGGCCCTCCAGTAGCATGGGCATCATAGCAGACTGCTACAGAGAGCAGGAGAAGGGGCCTGTGGGGTCCACCATGCGTCCTCCCACTTCCCCCAAGCTGCCCCTCTAGCTGGAAGACATAGTCCCTAATCCCCCAACCCAGACCCCAAAGCAGATGGAGGAAGTATTTTCCTTGTGTTAGATTTCTCCTTCCTTCCTTCCTTCCTTCCTTCCTTCCTTCCTTCCTTCCTTCCTTGCTTCCTTCCTTCCTTCCTTCCTTCCTTTTTTCCTTCCTTCCTTTCTTTTTCTTTTTCTTTTTTTTCAGAGTCTTGCTTTGTCACCCAGGCTAGAGTGCAGTGCCATTATCTCAGCTCACTGCAACCTCCACCTCCTGGGTTCAAGGGATTCTCCTGCCTCAGCCTCCCAAGTAGCTGAGATTATGGGTGTGTGCCACCATGCCTGGCTAATTTTTTGTAATTTTTGTAGAGAAGGGGTTTTGCCATGTTGGCCAGGCTGGTCTCAAATTCCTGATCTCAGGTGATCCATCTGCCTCTGCCCCCCAAATTGCTGGGATTACAGGTGTGAGCCACCTAACCTGACCTGTGTTAGATTTCAGTGGCCCCAGAGCAGCTGGTAAACCCCCTTCCCTGCCAGAGCCAGCTCAGCTTTTGTGTGTTGGGCCTGAATCTGAGCCTCACTTGTGGATGCTTCGCTCTTCTCCAGCCCCCTCCCTCCCACTACTGGTACCTTGGGCCCTTGGACCAACTAGGGCCTCCTCCTCCTTCTCTCCTCTGTCTTGGAGTCAGTGCTGGCCTTAGAGTCGGACAGAACAGACTTGGGCTCAGCTTCTCTCAGCTGCTGACCCGCTCTGTGATTTGCTGAAAAGCACACAGCCCCTCCCAGCTTGGACGTGCAGGGTGTAGGCTTTACGGAGAAGACCTGTTTACATCATGTTCTCCAATCAGCCTGGCGGTAGGTGCTCAGTGAAGGCTGGTTGACTCTATCCTGGAGCCAGGTGACCTGTCCCCATTCCAGATCAGACTGCACCTTCAGGAATTCCCTTCACCGGCAAACACTCCTATTTAGGCCTTCACCTCAGTGGGAGGAAGCCCTGCCTGGACAAGGAGGGGCAGAATCCCAGACACCACCCTCTTGCCTTACCGGCCTCCTTCAGTTTTCCTATCAAATCCCCAAGGCCAAGGGCAGCTTTGCTACTACTGTGATTTTACCTATTGCTCATCTGCAGTGTTTGCAGCTGTGTGCCCACCCCCTTCCTACCCTTGAGGGAGGAGCCAGAGGCTGGAGTACTGGGGCTGGAGTTAAGAACTGCAGATGGAAGTGAGAGAGGAGGAGAAGAAAGAGGCTCCCACCCGGCTTCTGACCCAGGACATACTGCCAGATGGGAGCAGAGGGTGAGGAATAAACATTTATTGAGCACTTACTGTGTGCCAGGCATTACATAGGAGCTAGCATGTATGTTCCAGAATGTAAACTCCATGAGGGTGGAGATTATCTGTTTTATTATTCACTGTTGTAATCTTAGTGCCTAGCACAGTTACTAGCACATGGTAGGAACTCAATAAACATATGCAGAATAAATGAATGTGTACCTGTTATGCCCACCATAACTCTATGAAGCAGATAAAAATATTATAGCCATGTTACATGATCTTCAGCTGAGGCTCAGAGAGGTTAAGTGACTTGCTCAATGTCACACAGCCAAGTAAATGGCAGAGCTGGCACTGCCTGGCTGTAAAGCTCTTGCTCTTACCACTGCACTCTTAAGCATGCCCAGATGACCACAGCTACTCTGTGCGTGCGTGTGTGTGTGTGTGTGTGTGTACTGTCCTATCTTGGAGGCTCATTGACTATACAAGTCCCATGGTCACACATAGAAGTTGTCATGTGTTCTTGTGCCTCACTGTGCACCAGAGGCTCCTGTGTGGATTCTACATACAGAAACCTGCTCTCCATTAAGCCCACCTCAGTTCACCTGGACAGTCCCTGGATAGAGAGTGGACACAGTGTGCAGGGTGCAAGACACAGGACAGGGCACCCAGGCCTCTCCGGGGCACACTGCGCCCTAGTTGACCCTTCCTACCTTTCTTGGCCAGGTGCCCAGAGAACATGAAGGTGTGTGCACGTCGGCACTTACACATGGCGTGCATGTGTGTACATGTGTCTGTGCTAATGCGTGTATTGGCTGTGCATGTGCATACCTGCGAACCTGAGCCACTTCTGCCTCGGGAATCCTAGCCTGCCCCACTTCAGGGTCCGACTCTTCACAAACAAATCAGGCACCTGGAAAAGCTGGACAAAGTCACTGGAAGAAGTCAACTTTCAGCCTGGTACAAGTGGGAGGATGCTTCACAGAGGGGCAGCTGGGGGTGGGGACAAGCCTGGTGAGTTCAAGCGTGGACTGGGAGTAACGCTTGGGCTGGGAGTTAGTAAATCCCAACCCTCCAGGAAAAGAGGAACGCAGCAGAGTCAAAGTGAGATCACAAACATGCTCAGAAACATGCAGACACACACACATGGACACAAGCACACACCCATGCCCACTGATTCTCTCACACACACGCACATACACACACAGATTTA